TGAGTGCTCCAGAAGACGGCTTGGATGGTGTGCCAGGGGTGAGTTTGGTGGTGCGCCAAAGGAAGTGGCTTGGATTGTCCGCCAGAGAGGGGTGTCTTGGGTTATGCGCCAAAGGAGACGACTTAGGTGGCTTGCATGGTGTATAACCATGTTCACCATGATATAGGTATAATACCCCCCGAACTCAAATAGGTTTGAAGATAGAAACCGGTTTGAGATTGAAGCAGAGGGAAAGATAGAGTACAGAAAAATAATATATTGCGAGTAAAAAACAAAAAACAAAAAAAAATGTGATAGAGATGTTTGGGGTAGGAATAAACCAGTGGATAGAGGAAGAGATCACCACGAAGCGATATTGAAAGGAAAACATGATAGCGGAATAGGTTGAAATCCGGCGGGCGGCCAAGGCAAGATTGTTGTTCGCCGATAAGGCGAAGAACACCAAGAGCTTAACCTATAGCTCTGATACCATGTTAGAATAGTAGAGAGAGAGAGAGAGAGAGGAAATAATATGTATTGTATTGAATGAATTGTCCTATACAATAGAAGACCTTTATATATTGTAGCACTCTGTGCTTTCTATTATAATGGAACTATATTTGACCCTTTGATTACCTTGATTGAGAACCTTCTTAGTTGTTATCTGAGCCTTGATTAAGGTGTTGCCATAGTGGTTGGGTGAGATTGAGTCAGAAACTCCAAATTTCAATAATTATCATTGAGTAGTTTTCACTCTTTCATCATTTTCTCTCTCCATACTTTGAATCTTGATATGAGGCTAGAATCATTGGAAAGCTTACTTTCGGGGCTTCAATTTGGACACAATAACGACCTAAAATGGAGTCCGAATGAGAGAGTTACACCTGTTTCAATTTTGAATTTTCAATTTTCGTTCTGGAAGCATGCTCGCTCGAGCGAGATTTTCTTCGCTCGAGTAAACAGTGCGTTTTTCAGAGAATCTGAGAGCTTATTTTGTACGCTCGAGCCAAGCTTCCTTCGCTCGAGTGACCAGGTCGCTAACAGACATTATGAAGTGACTTTTTGGCCCAAAAATTGTATTTTTCTCCCTCTCTTCTCCTCCCATTTTCCAAACCCGAAAACCTAACCTTCCAAACTCTTGACTTCTCTTCTATTTACCCAAGATTCACCCCAAATCCTTCAAGATGATTGAAGAGCAAACATAGATCAAGACTTTTACCGATTGTTTTGTGATTTCATTGGAGTTTCAAGGTGGGTCTTCATCTTTTGCTTCAAATCTTGAGGTAGGGATTTTCTTGTTCCTTTTCAATACCCCATCTATAGATAGATATGTGGTAGATTTGTATTGTATTAAAATCATATCCATTATGGATTTCTTTGAAAGTCATAAAAGGGAACCTAGGGTTTGTTATTTGGGAATGAGATTGTTAAATTGATTATTGTTTGGATTAATTGGGGAGTAATCTAGCATTTTTATGTTGAAAGAAGAAAAAGTCGTAATTTAATGTTTTGACTTGGTGAATTAAAAATGGGTAAAGTTAAATAATGTTTGTAAATTGTTATTATGGGTTGTGTAAATGTGTTAATAGCTAAAAGGGAGAATTAATTATGGCATTTGAATTATTTTGGATTGAACATATTAAATTGAGTTAGGTTATGGCTTTGATATCCATGGAATTAGTTTTGTGAAATGAAAAGAATGGATTGGGATAAAGGGTGGAGTATGTTAACTTGGAAAATAAGAGAATTGATTTTGAAAAGAAAGAATGAAATCATATGTGAACTTCATAAATTAGCTTGAGGTTGGATTATGAATATTTTATTTTACTATTGTTGTTGTTGGGTTTAAAATCTCATGAGAGTTGAATTATTATAATATGTGTGTTGAATATATACATTTAGAGGTTTTGTCCTTGGTCATTGGTGGAGGATGACATTGTTGTGTTGAATAGTTGTGTGTATGCATTACACTTGTGTCAGTTGCACTTTGTTGAATAGTTTGTGTATATGCATTATAATTGTGCTGGTTGTACTTTGTCATGTTGTGGTGATTAGTAACATATACTGCGCTAAGAATGAGAGGTATCATTACCTTCCAGATAGTGTCTAGAGAATTTGCTGCGCTTAGAATGAGAGGTACTAGAACCTTCCAGCTAGCGCTTGGAGAACTTGACAGAGGTACCATTACCTTCCAGCCGGTGTCTGGTAAATTGGCATTTCATTGTGGAAATGTGTATCATTGACTTATTGTGCTTAAGGCAGGTAGAATAGAATTTATTTATCATTATTGTCTCAGTGTATCTGGGTATATCATTGGTTATGATGGTTACTATTTTGGAAGGCCATATTGTCTCAATTGTTGAAGCAGATAATTATTGATTGCTTGTTGTTTTCCTTTGTGTATTAAAGGCATACTTGTATAGTTATGAATGTGTTGGAAACGAACAAAAGTATTGTGTTGAGATTGTGAAAAACAAATGTGAAAGACTTTGAATACTTGTGAACATGTTTTGAAAGGAAAATCAGGTATAAGTCTGGAAAGTGAGAGAAAATGTAATGGGCATGGTGAAATTGTTTTTCTTCAGAAATTTGTTATAGTCATATGAATTTTGGAAAAAGGTATCAAGAAGAAAGAAAAGTGAATTGCTTATGTTATTGAATGAAATGAATAACTTTGAGAAAATTTCTTATATACGTATATTTCTGTATAAACCATCACATTATTTATACAGTATGGACTAAGCTTTCATGATCATAGCTATCTGTAAGTTGTTATTGTTTAGGATCATGTTGAGATCCCTACTAGACTTTATGTTCATCCCACGTTGCTAATCCTTTTTAGGTGAACATCGAGAAGTGTTTCAAGGTCATGGATCTTCTTTACCTCTTGGCCACGGGGCATTTTATTTGTGGGCGGAATGCCATTGATGTAAAAGAGTTAAACCCTTTCTTCTACGTTTAAAGATGTAAGCCTACAGGGAAATTTATTTAGTTATGCTCATGTTGCATTTAATTTGCATTCGGATGAGAGAATCTTTATTTATTCTTACTCGTTGATGTAAAGAGTTTTCCGCATGTTATCTCTGAAATTGAATTAAGTTAATGAATCTAGTAATGGTTTCAAGTAATAAAAAGTGGGGCGTTACATATATAGACTGAGAAAGAGTATCCTATTAGAAGTCTAACTATGAGAAAGAGTATCCTATAAGAGACCTAACTATGGCAATACCTAATATATATAGGAAATCAATATCTAATATATGTTGGAATATATACCATATATACATTAACAATGAGAAACTAAATGCCAGTCCCACCATATATAAATAACCTAAATGCCACCACCAATCATATCCAACTTCACCCTCTATCTCTCTGTAGGGTAATTATTCAGTATTCTTAGAGTATGGACATGTGGTGCTCCATAAGGTTTCGATTGATAGAGAGCGGTAGGGGTCCACAATTTATGTTGGGGATGAGGGAACAACATGAGGCTAAGTAATTGGTGATTGGTTTGGAGTATGACCACGTGGTGTTCCAGGATTATTGAATAATTTTCCCTTTCTCTAGATGTCTATCTTTCTCTCTTACTCTTTCTCTCATACCAATTTCCAAAGAAAAATGACTTACAAAATCCTAGCATGTCTTTTTTTTTTACCCTTTCTTTGCAGCAGTTTCAAGCGAATGTGAAACTTTGAAAATCGCACCGCCGTTTCCCAAGCCTGAGGCCAATTACAAAGATGTAGAAATTGTGAATGGCGTATGTGCTAGGTTTTACATCCCCAAGTCTACCAATCCTAATAAAAAAACTTCCTCTCGTAGTTTACGGAGGCTTTGGCTTGCATAATGCCTTCTTTCCTCCCCACGACACATACGTTTATTCTCTTGTTAAGAAAGCTAATGTTGTTGCATTGTCTGTTGACTATAGACAAGGCCCGAAGAATCCTCTCTCCATTCCTTATGATGATTCATGGGAAGCAATCAAGTGGGTTGCTTCTCACTCTACCAGGCATGGTCATGAGGAATGGCTAAATAGCTATGTTGATTTTAAATGAGTTTTCTACTCTAGAGATAGTGCAGGTGCTAACATTGCATACAACATGGTCATGAGAGCAGGTTCAGAGAAATTGGATGGTCTCAATGTTAATGGAATTGCTCTAATCCACCCATATTTTTGGGGAAACAAACCAATTGGAACTCATGAGTCCAGGGATGCTACTTCGAGATTAGAAAGAGACAATATTTGGTTGATTAATTCCCAAAATGCGTTTGGATTGGATGATCCAAGACTTAACCCACTTGTGGATCCAAAGTTGTCCTCCCTTGGATGTAGCAAGGTTCTAGTTTTAATTGCTGAGAAAGATATATACAGAGATAGGGGTTTTTATTACTATGAGGCATTGCGTACAAAAGGTTGGAAAGGAAATGTGGAAATTATGGAGACTCCAGGGACTCATGTCTTTCAATTGAACTTTCCAGATTCAAAATATGCTCAAGAAATGCTTGAAAGAATATCTTCTTTTGTGAAGAAACCCTAGTCCAGAGACTTCCTAGCTCCTTGTCATCTTTAATATACATACATACATACATACATACATACATACATTCAATTATGTATTCTTACATAATTGAGGATATTTTCTTGTTTATGTATTATTTGTTCATAATTGTTCACTTATATAAAAGTTGCTACGCATGAATATGGTTACAATAGATGAGTGGCTTTGAAATTTTCATTTTGTTTCCAAAAATATGAAAAAATAATAAGAGAAATTTACTTTACTCTCCGGTACTTTTGCATCAAAACACTTTTTGACCTTATAGTTCAAATATGCAATTACAATTTCAATCGCAAAAACAAGAGTGACAATTACAATATCAGCACCTCAGTACCAATCTGCCACAAAACTTCATCGCCCAAATCCCAAAATGCATCCCTTTAGAATGCACATATCAACAAAGCAGAAGAAGCATGAAAGCAAAGAACTATACACAAAATTTAAAGCACTAGCACCCCTGCAAGGATTATAAAGATTGACAATAGGAATTATTGAATTGGCAGTTTGAGCTACGAGTAATGTTACACACCATGAAATAAATATCATGAAAAGTTTCATAAAATTAATCTAAAGGTGATTGCATAACACACAATAAAACACTACAAACTACTTCAAGGGTGGAGAATCTTCATGAAGGCTTTTCATGATATTTCTTTCATGACGCTTGGCATTATTGTTGAGCTACCCTTGAACTAGGCTCACTAAAAGCCTACAAGTAAACGGGGACAACACGAAGAGGCTGAGCCTTTTTCAAAGTAAGGCCAAACTTCTCCTCCATGTTCATGTCCTCTGGAGAAATCCCATCTATGAGCTTCCAATCAAATGAGTTTATGAGAGAACCCAACATCAAGTGAAGCATCCTCATTGCTAATGGCAATCCAGGACATATTCTTCTTCCTGCACCAAATGGAATGAGTTCAAAATCTTGTCCCCGAACATCAACTTGTGAACCCAAAAACCTCTCAGGCAAAAACAAGTTTGGACTTTCCCATGTACTTGGATTGCGGCCAATACCCCATGCATTCACAAGCACTTGTGTACCCTTTGGAACAGTGAATCCATAAACTTCAACATCTACTTCAACTTTGCGAGGAAGTAACAATGGAGTTGTTGGGTGTCTCCTAAAGGTTTCTTTGACAATCGCTTGCAAATATGGTAGCTGAGGGATGTCTGATTCTTTGACTTGTTTGCCTTTGCCAATTGTTTTCTCAAGCTCCACTCGTGCTTCAAATAATGTCTTTGGGTTGTGTAGTATCTCGGCCATTGCCCATTCCATCGTGCTTGAAGTTGTCTCCGCCCCCGCAATAAATATGTCCTAAACAAACTAATAGAGTAATGTTATACAAATACAACTACCTAAAATTTTGTTGAGCATAAAAATAAAATAATAAACTAACTAAAAATTTTATCCAAAATTCAAAATAACACAACAATTATGAGTTGTATCATGCTAGACCCTTTTTTTTTTTTTTGATGAATAATTTTGTATGAGTAAAAAAATTTCAAACTAAAACATCACTACAACAAACGGCACTTTTGGTGACTAAATTTTTTAATGCTAAAAAGTGAAGATTTGGCCACCAAAGGTTTATGGCAAACTAAATAATTTGGTCAGCAGATTAGTCGGTGATCAATTGTTGGGAAAAATATATAGTGACTAAGGCTCTATTTGTCACCGATACACAACAATTGATAACTAAAATTTTAGTCGCCAAAAGTTTTTAAATAAAACATTTGATCATTGATAAGTTTTTGTCACAACATTATTACATTTAGCGATGAAATAGTCTCGTTGCCAAAAATGTAAGGATATATATATATATATATATATTGTAGTGCAGAGGTGACATGTTTTTTTGTAACAATTTTTTTTTTTTTATGTACTAACATGTCCATATATGGAAATAAAAAGTAAAAAATACTATGTACTAAAAAAAGTAAAAAAAATGTCCATATTTCAATATATATATATATATATTTGGTTTAGTGTAAGCTAGGGTTTACATGAATTGGTTTTGTTTCAATTAACACTAATTTAGAAATTAACCAATCATAATCAATTCCAAAATTTTGATATGGGACCAAACCAATCCTCTAATAGAATGAAACGAATCCAATCTCATATAGCTTGGGTGGTGACTAAGCTGGTTACTGAAGCTCATTGATGGTTGCCTGTGATCGGTCAAAATTCACTGACGGTTGGTTGGCTGATTGGCCAACAATTGGCAATGGGTGGTGGTGGATGGGGAGGAGAGAGTGAAAAATTATTTTGAAAATGAGTAAAAACAGTTTTTTTTTTTCAAAAAATTTAAATTAATTTCACTTTTTTTAAAACAAAAATAGTATACTAGACAAATTTTCATTTCTAGTTTTTTAAGAAAATGAAAATAAAAAATAGGCATGTTTGGAAACATTATGTATATAATTTTTCTATTTATATCTATAAAATATTTAAAATCTATAAATAAAAACTCATTTGGTGTCTATTTTTATTTTAAAAACTTGTAAATAATTTACAAAATTTAATAAATTCTTATAACTATGAAAAAGTTAGTTTCATTTGTTTAAAAACAAAGTTGTCATTGTTTCCTCCTTTACCTACCACCCACCAATCTTTAACACTATTGACTACTGTTTCTAGCCAATATTGCCGATGACCTTTTCCGGCCACCATCGCTCACGATTATCACTTTAGTATGCCGACCACCATCTCTAAAGATTACCAACCATCTTTGGTTGCCAACAATCTACTCTAATGTGCGATAACCCACCTCTGACCACCATAATTTTGTCGAAAATAACCTTTGACCACCAATTTCGATCACCACCTCTGGTGCCTGCAACCACCTTCGATCATCCTCTCCAACCACAAGTCACCACCTTCCATGACCAACAATCAGCTTCGGCTACCACCAACTACCTCCCACCGCGTGGTAATTAGCACCACTAGTCATCATCTCCAATCGTTGACAATCTCTTTTGACTAGCCAAAACCTTTTATTCGTTTTCAAAACAAAATTTAAAAACATTTGTCTATTAAACATGTTTTTATTTTTATTTTTACCAAAAATAAATATAAATACATAATATTTTATATAAACAAATTACAAAACCAAACCTAACAAATATAAAATCAGATGGGAAGCATAGTAATTAAATGACTTGTTTAATTAACAAAATTAATAGTGAGGAGATTAATAATTCATGTAATTAGTGTATAATTGATTATCGGGAAAATTAGTGAAATATCCCTCTATAATTTTGTGTAGTAGGAGAAGTCCAAGATATTTTTTTTATTAGTTAAGGCCTCTCAACATTTTTACAGGCAAAATTCAACTTAGAAAAAATTTTCCCGACTTAGAGATATTTCGGCACCAACTTAGAGAAATTTTGAAATTTTGAAATTTCAATTTTATAATTTTTCTATTTATATTTATAAAATATTAAAAATCTATAAATAAAAACTCGTTTGGTGTCTATTTTTATTTAAAAAACTTGTAAATAATTTACAAAATTTAATAAAATCTTGTAACTATGAAAAAGTTAGTTTCATTTGTTTAAAAACAAAGTTTTCATTGTTTCCTCATTTACCTAGCACCCACCAATCTTCAACACTATTGACAACCATTTCTAGCCAATATTGCCGATGACCTCTTCCGGCCACCATCGCTCACGATTAACAATCACTTATGGCTATCGACCACCATCTCTAAAGAATAACAACCACCTTTGGTTGGCAACAACCTACTCTCACGTGCGATAACCCACCTCTGACCACCATCTTTTTGTCGGAAATAACCTTTGACCACCAACTTCGATCACCACCTTTGATGCCCGCAACCACCTTCGATCATCCTCTCCAACCAAAAGTCACCACCTCCCACGACCAACAATCAGCTTCGGTTACCACCAACTAATGGTTAGTTTGCTAATGGTTTGCCCAGTTCTGGTTGTAATTTGGTTGTAACACTTGTGTCCTTCAAAGCTTTTGGGAAGTGTATTCGAATTCTTTATTTTTATTTTGGAAATCTTTGGTGTTGTTATGGGTTGGTTTTGGAGGAGTATAAGCCGATTTAAACTTGTTGGGTTTGGTTGTTCGCTCTTGTTCTTGTCAAAAGTTCCTTGGAGACTTAGAAATTCTATTTTAGGGTCGACACCAGCCTTCCTAAGGGTTAACCCTTACCTGTTGGTGAAGTTTCTGGAAGTGTTGCTGGAAAATAGGGTAGACACCAGTTTGGGGAGGGTCAACCCTCTTATGTCTATGTGTTAGTTGCTGGAAAATAAGGTCGACCCCTCCTGTCTAAGGGTCGATCCCCTTGCATGCTGTCAAACATAAGTTTCTTCATAGGGTCGACCCCTGTGTTGCAAGGGTCGACCCCTGCAGACTTTTTCTAGATTTTAGTCCGGTTTTTTGCCCTACTTTTGGGGGATTTTGACTTGATCTTTTGGGTTGACTTTGGGACTTTATTTCATTATGACCTAGCACTATAAATAGGTCACTCACTTAACCTTTTTTTTACTTTTCTTCTCTTTTTCCTTCTCCAAGTCGTGAGTCACTCTCCCCTTCTCCAAAATCACTTTTTGCTCAAAGATCTTTAGATCTACTCTCTTGGAAGCATCTCCTTGCCTTGCTCATTTGAGATTAAGTGTAGAGCTTGTCAAGAGCTTCGTTTTGATCCAAGTAGAAGTTGGTTTCGATATGTTTGGATTTTCAACCTTGTTTTTGTCATCTTCTCTTCTAAGCTAGAGGTAGGAATTTTCTACACTCTAATATGATTTTTAGCTTATTTATTTGCTATTGTGTATAGATGATGAGATTTGGTTATGGTTTGGACAAATCTAGGATTTGGGTGTGAAATGAAAAGAGGGGTTTTGATGAATATGAGGTAAACGAGTATGAGGCTTGAATATAAGATCATGTTGTGCCAAAATAGTTAATTTTGGTGTTTGGGTTGATATTTGGTGAAAGGGGGATTTTGCCCTAATTTTGATTAAATTATTATTTTGTGTAAATAATTGAAATTAGCATTGAAAATGTGAAATTGCAATGTTATGGGTACAGATAGTGAAATTAGATATGTGTTATCTTACACTTTTGGAAGTTGTTTGATTATTTCTACTGGGCTGTGGCTCACCCTATATGGGCATACCATTTTCAGGTGCAGACGATATGCTTCTGCCAAGGCAATAGCATGGGGGAAGTTTTGGGAAGCAAGAGCTTCTTGATTATGTTTTGTTATTTGTATGATTGTTATTTATAAAGCCAAGGGCTTAAGATGTAATGAGCGAGACTCACTTTGTGCAACCAAGCAATGACTTGAGAAGATGTAAGCGTACATGGCATTTAACTAGTTGTTAAACAATAAACTCTGATGAATGAAAGTATTGTATTCCTGTTATATTCTATCGCATGATAGATAGGTTTATTGCATTAGTTTGGGGGCGTTACAACTTGGCATCAGAGCGTACCGAGTTTGAATACTTTGGGTACGTGGGAAGTGGTTAGTACCACAATGGGTTTGTCTCGCTTGATTGAGAGTAAGCATGTATTGTATGCTTATGTGATAACATGCTTATGTGAGTATGAGATTTGGTTCCTAAGATGTTGATTGAGTCTACGATTTTCTGGAAGTCCTATTGGAAGAGCACTTAATCACTGCTATTTTTAATTGGAACTCTAGAAACGCCATGGGACGGTCATTATCTGGGAATAAAATTCATGTGTTTCTATGACTATGTGCTTACATGGAATGATTTATTGTTGTCCAATGTAGTAGGACACAAGTGAGTTAGCGTCGTCACATTTGTGAATGTGCTAATCTCCTATTGTTACCTTTATTAGGATGTCTGGACGTGAACGTGGTAGTGGTAGACGGGGTAGACCTATGGGGCATGATATGCCGATACCAGATGACATTCCGGCACAGGAGGAAGGAATTGGTCAAGCTAATGTGGCTGAACCAGTTGATCATCAGGCCATGGGTGCCTTAGCCCATGAAATGGCCAGAGCATTGAGGGAATCTATGGACATTCTCAAGGCTGAGAATTAGGTCCAAGCATAAGTAGCTGAAGTAGGGCTATCTTTTCTGAAGAGGGAGTTCTTTCGGTCGAATCCGGATGAGTTTGTGGGTGATCCCAGGGAGCCGCTGAAGGCAGATGAGTGGCTAGAACAGTTAGTGAAGACATTCGAGATGCTTGGCATCGAGGATGACCAGTTAAGGGTGACCTTGGCATCTTTCCAACTTAAGGGGGATGCGGGTCAGTGGTGGAAGTATGCGCGTGGACGCATTGGGGTGACTTGGGAGGCTTTTGCCA